TAGGGAAGTATATACCTAGAGACCAGATAAACCTTCACCAACCTGGGCCAGCTTTGCTCATCTGTAAAATCAGAAGGGTTGGGTGCTAAGATCCTTTGACTTTGTACTTGACTTTTGGAAAGCAACCTCGTAAACTGATGTGCACTAAGGTTTTGCCGGTTTAGTATATATAATTTCTCCCCTGAATTTTTACACTTTATTGTATTGTGATATGCACTTCAACAAAGAAAGCATTAGTCTCTGGAAAACCATCAATTAAAGGCAGGCATTACACTTCATTATGTTTATTGACAGAGTCTCTAACTTGCTCTGGTCACTTGGTCTAATTCTTCCCTAATTCCTATTGGTTGGAGTTTAGGAGGCAACTTACATCTTAGCCAGGATAAGTGCTAAATGGGCACAGGGATATGAAAAGAAATAATAAACTGCTCAAGAATGATTAAACACTTCTTTCAGGGTGACCAGGTGGTAGATAGCCTATTCAGGATTCATGGGAATAGGAAACATATGCAACTCATACAGAAATGCTGCAAATGAAAAGAAAAAGATACTAAACCATTAGTCAAATCTAGTGAAATTTCTGCTCTGACCTGTGTCAGCCAACTTCTTAAAGTTAGAATCCAGAGCTTAGTACTTGTTCTATGTAGTTTTGACTTCACTGCCATATTTAAATACCATTTCATTCCTTTCTAACAAAAACTTTTGTATTTCCTAGGTTTGCAAGTCAGGTTAACTAAACCCTTGTTTTTCTCATGTTGCACGTAAAATTATTTTAAGTCATTGAAATCATTCTATTTAACACAGTTTCAGGTTTTTAGTGTTATTAAAGGACCTTAAATTGGAAAATGCAATTAACAGATTTTTCACATATTGTTTATAAATTCCTTCCTGTGTTTCAAAACTGACACCTTTTTCAAATGAGGCTTAGTACAGTTGTGTAATATGACTTTTTTTTTTTTAACTTTTGCGTAGGCATTCACAGGGCTCAGAGTTCAAGGTGTCTGGTCAGGGCCTGCCCTGCCTCTCCTTCCAAAGATATTTTACTTACCTCCAAGAAAATGGGTTTACATAGTCCGAAATCGCCTTTTCTACCCCAATGGGGTAGAATGCCCAATGGGGCATTTCACTCTTCATCCGTTGCACCTTGCACGAAGCTCAGCCCTCACTCTTACTGCATGTGGAACATCCCCTTCTAGATAGATATCTGGTACCCCAGTGAATGGCTATATCATACTAATAGACAGGCTGTTTTCCAGTCTTTTGCTATTGACAACATCCACCAGCTCTTATCCATGCCACACTCTAGTCCATGTGCTGCATGGAAATTACTTCATTTACTTGTTAGTGCTGCAAAGGAAACCTTTCTCTTACATGATTTCACAAGAGGGGAATAGTTATGCCAGATGAATTCCTAGAAATAGAATTTTCAGAGCAGAAGGGCTGTGTGTTTACTTTGGGCAGACTCAGTGGATGTGCCAGTTCATGTAAGAACATGAGTGATTGTGTGCCCACCATGTGTTTGTAAACATTTTGCTTTTGGCTAATCTAACAGGTGGAAAAATGTATTTCAGTATAGCTTTAGTTTGTATCTCTTTTGAGTTTGTATCTCTCTTGTGAGATTACACAACCTTCTGTAAGCCTAAGAACACTTCATATGTCCTTTCCTATAAATAATTATAGCATTTACTCATTTTCATGTTGAGTTGTCTTTTTCATAATGATTTGTAGAGTCCTCTATAATATAGTAGGGAAACTGAACATATCTGTGATAGGAGTTGAAAACGGTCTTTTGGCTTATGAAGTTGTGCTTTTTGCCATGCAGAACTAAAAAATCTTCATATAGTTGAACTTATCACTAATTTTGGGAAACTGATTGTTAGAAATCCTAAGAGTCTAAAAAAATTCCCATGGTTTCTAGTGCTTTTTATGGTTTCTTTTTCTTTCTTTCTTTTTTTTTTGCATTTAAAGTTTTGAACCATTTGGGATTTACTCTTTTATATGGTGTAAAAGATAAATTTGGCTTTTTTTCCTCTAGATGGATACCCAGTTTTTGTTTTTGTTTTTTTTTAAAGATTTTATTTATTTATGGTACAGAACTGGGGTACAGGCCAGAGATGCAAGGGGGTGAAAGGATTCACCAGAGACAGAGTGGGGAGCAGAACAGTCACATCTACGAAGTACACTGCTGAGGGGAGCAGCGGGCGGGTCAGGAGAGGTCTGCCACGCCATGTGGTCACCTCCGGGGCAGGAGGGGATCGAACTCATGCGGAAGTGGCTTTAGCTTCTCAGTGCTGTGCTTTAACCCGCTGCGCCACCAGGGAGGGCCCGGATACCCAGTTTTACTAACATTTATTGCCCAGTCAATCTTCCACAAATCAGGGATGCCATCTTTGGTCAGAAGCTAAACTTCATCCTCACAGAGTTTTAGAATGAGATGGTGACTATTGTTTAGTGATAGCAGTTTGGATATTCACTTCCTAATAGCTAATTTTTCTAAGAAAGTAAGCATAAAGCTTATTTTCTATTAAAAAAAAAAGCATACCAAACTTCTGAGAGCATTGTCCGAACAGATATGTGGATGGCTCTTAACAGAAGAAATTTAGAGCAAATAAAAATTCAGAGTTAGAATTATTTGATCAGATTTTTTCAGGATAATCTTAATTTTATTTTATTGAAAAGGACAGTTTGGTGTAGAGGAAAGAATGCTGATCTCAGTGGCAGGAAGCCAGTTGACATTTTTTTCATCTGTTCTCTCCCTAATGTAATAACATGACAACCATAACAAATGCTTAGAACATTTCTGGCCTACAGTGAATGCTGAGAACTTTTTTTTTTAATATTAATGCACTCAATATATAATTAATGAAAAGTTTGTAAACTGTTACAAATTGCACAAATGTTGAAAAGTATTATAATAGGCCCTTTGAGCACAGGGAGAGAAGCAAACAAACCCGAATCGTAGGAGCTACATGCTTACAACAAATAGAAAGTCTGTGTTCAGTCTTTGGGACCAAGGACAGGCTGCTGCACTCACGCCAGTGGCATGCGGGTTATTTTGAACTGAAAAAAGTTGAGAGACAGGATCCAAGAATGATGTTTTGCTTAATTATCTACCTCCCTAAAAATAGGAAGTAAATGTTCTCTGTAGAAGTCCTAGAGGTGAGAGACAGACTTATCACCCCTGACTAGCATTTACAAGGTGTGTTTTCGATGCATATGTAGATAATCTGCCAAATTCTCCTTTTTAACATTTCAATTTCTTTTGATATGCCTTTTTCTTCCAAAATGATAGCCCCTTTAAAAGCAATTATGTAATCTTGCTGGAGAAGGGAAATAATGTGTTCATAGTCTGTGGGTCTCTGTGCATGTAATTAAAATTTGTCTTCTCTCTTGCTAATCTCTCATGTCAGCTTATAAGGTGGGCCAAAAAAACAAAAACAATAACAACAACCACCAGTGAGGGCAAGAGGGAATCTTCCCCAAGTTTCCGCTTAAGATACGAAGTAGAATGATGTTAGGGCTAGCCTGTGGATTGCTACTTCTCCAACTTTCATCTTACCTCCATGTTTTTAAGCCTTTGCTTATGCTATTTCCCTAGTTCTGAACCTCCCCTCCCGCCACGCAAACACAGAAGCATTTCTGCTTCTTTAAGGACCACCTCAGATGTCATCTCCTGGCTTATTTCCCAGGTAGAAGTTTTGTGTAGTCTTCTAATTCCATTGCACTCCCTATATTAGCATCATGCATTACAATAGAGGTAGCTTAAATATTTTGTCCTACCCATTACACTTGAGTTTGCTGAGGGCAGGGCCTGTGCATTATACATCTTTGTAGTTTGTGTAGCTCCTGACATTATTCCAGGCCTATAATAAGCATTCAGCTGAAAGAAAATAAATTTGCATATATGACTATACAGTATCCTATTTGATAAAAGTTGGAAAGGTCTTAAGCAGAAGCAAAGCAACTAAGTCCTATAGCTGGTAAAACCAAGCAATTTAATCATTTGTTACATTTTCTCTTTGAATGTATGAGAACTTGAATGCAAAGCATCACAGCGGTTTATGGCCTATTTTAAAGGTGCAATGTACAGGAGTGAAAATCAGACATTTTCTCTGATGGTATGGTTTAGCTTTTGCATTTTATTTTTAAAAGCCACACTTAGGGTGCTAGCTAAATAAGAGTGGTGTTGATTAAATTAGATTAGAGTGGTGTTGATTAAAATTAAACACAGAAATATCACACTTATCAGATAGTCAGACTTCTGCCAGCTACAATTTATCTGGATCATATTCAAGAACCCCAGAAGGAATCCAGAAAGGTCTTTCAAGTTGGAAAACAAGAATTGTCACAAAGCCTGTGTACTTGAAGCAGGAGGAGAGGCAGCGTGCCACTCAGATGCCAAAGGCTACTCACTGCCTTTGAATTTTCATAGAAAATGCCAAGGACCGCTTGGTCAGTTTGGACATTCAACTGCTTTGCAAGACAATTTCCTTGAGTTTTAGTAGAAAAAAGATTAAAAGGACTCTCCCTTCCATGTTGCCAGAAGGCACTAACTCTTGAAACTCACTGTTGAAAGAGTGTAAAAGGCATTCTTGTTTTTCTCTCATATATCATAGCAACTTACTTTGTTTTCTTCTTTATAGTCCTTTTTTTTTTTAAGGATTTACTTATTTAAGCAAACAGAACTAGAAAATGAGTTTCCAGAGAGTGATGTCCCTTGGTTTCACCTCTTGAAAGGGAATGATTAATTTGATATGGAAAAAGCCTTCTTTATTCCCTTATTCAAGGATTTATGTAACTTATTATGGGTTGGAGTCTTGAATGTGAAAGGAGCAAAAGGAGCATGTGTACATTTCTTTGCATCATTTGGTAAAAGCTATGTAAGTAAACCTAAAAAAAAAAAAGGCGTGTTGAAATGTTTTGGGGGGACATATGCTTTTGTGGAGGGATGAGAGCTTATCAAAACAGGTATCAATTTTCTTTTTCTCTTCTCTTTCTAGATTGCCAAAATGCTTTGGAGCTTTTAACTGACTTTAAGAAAAGTCCAAAGTAGACTTGAGACTGTACAAACAGAAGCCACAGCAAGGGGGATTCAGTGCCAATGCATCAACAAAAAAGACAGCCAGAGTTAGTGGAAGGAAATCTTCCTGTTTTTGTATTTCCCACGGAGCTCAAATTTTATGCCGATGACCAGTCAACACATAAGCAAGTGTTGACTCTGTATAATCCTTATGAATTTGCCTTAAAGTTCAAAGGTGAGTCTCCTAGATCTTTCCATGGATTTTAACTAGTCCCTACTAAGTATTTTACTTGTAGAAATTAATTTTTGTAAAAAGACACTAATGGCCATTGTGACTTTTTCTTTCAGTTTTGTGTACTACTCCAAATAAGTATGTTGTCGTTGATGCTGCAGGTGCAGTAAAGCCTCAGTGTTGTGTGGATATGTAAGTCAAAACCACTTCCTGGTAACATGTTTTCAGTGTGTTAATATTTTTGTGTTTAACTTGAACCAGATCTTTTCTTGAAGCTGTTTTCACATAGGCATTTATTATAGTTGGAATTTTTGCTCAAAATTTTTTCAAAATTCTTTCTGTGACATTTCTGAGAGATTCTAAACAGGTCTAACAGATCCAATATTATTTCATTACACTGGTAACTAACATGTGTTAACTATTTCCATGAACATTTCTTCATTGCTTTGTTTTTTAGTCATAGCAAGGATATTTGTGAAGGTGAAGTTTGAACTTACTCCTTTGCATTTCTCTAGCTGCTGTAGGGAACTTAGCTTTCTTTGGAACATCCTGCATTACAGTGACATTTGTGAACAGCAGTAATATGAGTTTATCTAAAATGATTCAGCTACTGAGCCTGGAAGTTAATCTATACAAACAGGAAGCGAGTGTGTAACTACTCATCTGTAAAAGGTTATCTGAGCTCTTCCAGATAATTTCGTCTTAGAGTGGCAGATAAGTGATTGTTTGTTCAAGCTGTTAATATTTAATTTTCATTTTCGAACTAGTGGTGACCATATGGATCTATTGGGCAGCCTTAACTAAAGCCACAAAGTAAACTGTATTTGTTTCAATCTTCCAGGACAATGAGAACCAGAAGTATTTTGTTTTGATACGATCCATCATCTCAAAAGTCATAACATAAAATGAGGGATCTTTGAGGATGTGCTTCTTTTGATTTTTCATTTAGTACGCATTAAGCCAAGACTAGTCCAAAGACATGTAGCCTCTTGCCAAACAAATGAGTTACGTTTCACCTAATTGTTTTGTGTTTTCTACTAAGAACAGTGTAAAATGGAATGGCAGATAACAAAAAAGACAGTGCTTTGTACTCTTCAGAGAAAGACAAAAGTGTACTGTTAGCCTGTCACTGCATTGGTCACACTGTTTTTTATTCAGTTGCTTATTTTTACACACATGTGTGGATTTGGACTTTAGATCTTCGGTGAAGTGTGTTACTTGAGCAATAAAGAAGTGGCAACAGAAGCTTGTGAGACTTCCTGGGGGAAGGAACAATTCATATATCCTAGTTAGTAAATCTTGCTGCAGGAACAAAATGTCATTTCTTTACCCACCATTCTTTTATGTAAGAAATTTATTCTGTGTTTTAGAGTGTTTTCAACACATATCTTGGAGTTCTCATGCCTTCTGGGGATATACTGTAAGGGTTGTTTTTATTTTGTTAGCAATATTAGTAAACATCTGTATTTGAGTATTTGCTTATAGTCAGCTAATACTGTTTTCCTGTATGAAGTCTCTTGATGAATTCTGTTTGCCAGATAGACCTCCACCTCAATAGGGTGTTTCTTGATGTTTCAGCGTGATTCGGCACAGAGATGTACGAGCCTGTCACTATGGTGTGATAGACAAATTCCGTCTCCAAGTTTCTGAGCAAAGTCAGCGGAAAGCTTTGGGAAGGAAAGAGGTTGTGGCTACCCTTCACCCATCTGCGAAAGAACAGCAAAAAGAAGAAGAGGAGAAAAGAATAACGGAACACTTAACTGAAAGTGTATTCTTTGAGCAGTCCTTTCAACCAGGTAGTTTTGCCTTGTTTTCTGAGTCCCTCTGAGGTTCTTACATGTGTCTTTCTTCAAATACTCAGGGTGCTAAGAACAATTATAATAAAAATAAGCTGCCATTTGAAACCTACTTAGCCACTTCCAAAAGGGTCAGGTACCTAACTTGGTAAGAAGCCTAGAGCTGGGCTTTGACAGCCCCTCTCACGATAGACAAGGCTGCAAGGGGAGGGCAGAAGTTGCAATAACCTTTGAAATCTCTAAAACCTGAGGATGTGGGCACCACACTTTCTATTGCTAGTACAGTTTGGCCATTACATGCTTTTGTTTCTGTGACTTTCCTATATCCTTTCTCATTTAATTAGTTTGAAGAAGGAGAGAGATTGTGTTTGGCAATAGGCCAAGCTTGGTGCACTGTTCATATTACTTTGAAAAAAAAATCTCATTAAAGTTGAAGTTAATTAAACTAAGTAGATTATAATATCCCCTGTGGGCTATTAATTGAATCCCTCTCCATTCCTCATTTCCTTCCAGCTTAGATATTCAGAAGTGTTATGATATATTCTTTCAACATTGACACTATCTTCATATTCAACTCTTTGGATGTCACTCCCCCTCCCTCTTAACTTCTCATTATCTCCCTCCAGCCCTGTTATAAGTGGAAGCAGATAAAATTTTCCATAGGAAAACATGGAAACTTTTTGATAGTGATATATGAATGTGATAACAGCTGTCCTTGAAATGACAACATTATATGAGTGATTAAAATAAATCTTCTTGTCATGACATTAATTCATAGATCCCTATCAGTTTGTTCATCTTAAAGTGTTTATTTTTGAAAAGAGAGGAAGTCATGCCTTTTTGATTTATTGAGTGTCTTCTCCCACCATATAGAGCGAGTGCCCAGATTTTCTGCAGATACCAAGACTAGGGGCTGGGTAGTAGCGAGTAGATGGTTTCTTGTCAGCAGCAACAGCCAGTTTTTCATCTTTTGAAGCTGAAAGAGAAGCTCTGTCTAATGTCACATTGATGTCTGGTCAACATTGTGACTTGTAAATCTTTCTGAAATACAAGAGTCCCCTTGTAATGCCTCCTCTAGAATGGGAAACGCCATATGAGGATTTGTTGTTGTTCTTCTTTTTTTAAGATTTATATATTTATATACCGAACTGGGGTACAGGCCAGAGGTGCCAGGGCAGTGAGAGGCTTCACCAGAGACAGAGGGGGGAACAGAACAGGCAGATGGAGGAAGTACACTGCTGAGGGGAGCAGGGGGCAGGTCAGGAGAGGTCTGCTGCACCATGTGGATCACCTCCTGAGTGGGGATCGAACTCATGCGGAAGTGGCTTTAGCTTCTTAGTGCTGTGCTTTAACCCACTGCACCACCAGGGAGGGCCTGTTGTTCTTTTTTAATGTTAAATCCATACTTTAAAGTGAAGTGGTCATCAGTTCATCTTTGTCTTTCATAGCCAGAAATAATAAGGATTAAAAGTTTCAGTTATAGCTATCTTAGTAGCTATCCATCTATTTTTATTTTTAAAGTATGTGAAAATCAAGATTGAATAATTACAACAAACCTTTAGTATCTGTCATAAATGAGAGGATTCTTCTAATTGTGAAACCAGAATGCGTAGATGAGTAAAGACAGCATAATGTGGGCATCTCTGTTAGGAAAAAACAAAACCTCTCTGACCATGTCAGGCAGCCTCATGAAGGCAGGCACCTCACGTGCCTTGCTTTCCCACTGTGTTCTGGCACCTCCCAGCACTGGTAGGGGAGTTACTTGGAAGTGTGGGGGGAGGGGCTGCACTAGGAAGAACAGACTTTTCGTCTAGTAGGGTCTATTGGTTTGTTTTTTCTTGGCTCACAAGGTTCCAGGGCTGTCGGCACTGTTTGGAGCAAGGGCCATACCACACTAGAGAACCCGGTACTCAGGGCTGCCAGCATCTCCCCAGTGCGACGAGCTACCCCAGCGTTTTGAATATGGCTGGAAATTGAGTCAAGGTTTATTCCAGAATAGAATGTCATGGTGTCAGATTTAGTCTAAGTTAACGAAGTATCATTTTTAAGTTCTCCTATTTATTAATAGTTAATAGTAGCTTTCCAGTATGTAGAATTCTAAAGGTTATCATTAAGTTTCTCTGAACAAAAATGTTCAGTTGAGAGGTTTGGAAAGTCACTGTTTATGCACATCTTTAGAAAATGTTTATTAGACATATTACAAGTGTGTCATGTTGGGAGACTCTGTGAGTGAGGTGGAAAGTGGGTGAAGACTAGATCATGGGAAATTCAATATTTAAAATGTGTTGAAGGGCTTAAGTAAAAATAAGGAATTTCTCCTCAATCTCATCATATAAAAGACACACATACACATATATCCATAACAAATGCAAAAGGGAAAATAGGACCTATAATCCCATGTTCTATTTCTGCAAGTTAATTTCCAGACCTTGTTTTGTGTGCATAAGTACAATTATCTATCTGTCTGTCTGTCTATCTATCTATCTATCTATCTTCTTTTCTTCACTTAACATAATTTAAAAGGAACCAGCAAAGCACACTTCCACAAAATACCAAAGCCCAGGTTATTAAAAAGATGTTTTAAAAAGGTGCAGCTGGGCCCTCCCTGGTGGCGCAGCGGGTTAAAGCACTGCACTAAGAAGCTTAAGCCACTTCCACATGAGTTCGATCCCTGCCTGCCC